CCCCCCCCCCCCCAAATTTTTTATTTTTTTTTTTTAATTCCGAACCTACCGGACCGAACGTCCGCCCAGACATCCAGACGCGGACGGTCCGGAATGGGTTGCGGACGTCCGGGCGGTGACCATGCCGCAGACATATAACCATCTCTAGCTAGTTCTAGAGTCAGGGCCCAATCGGTGCAATGGCTGTCGTAACTCAGCGCGAACCTTACTGGCTTCATGACCTATGCGTTCATTTCCCAGCACAAACACAGCAGCAGAGGACCCCGGTCCGTCGATTACCACCGTGAAACAACGCAGAGCAAAAAGTATGTGAGAGAATACAGTCCAGCTGGTGGAAATAGTGTGAGAGAAAAAAAATGATTCACAACAGCAAGGGCCTATTACCAGTATACAGGATTGTGCATAGGAATGAGCCCTCAAGAGAAACCACCTAACTAACCGTGAGCATGGCGTTCAGCGGACAGCGCGGACCCACTGGTAGTGCAGAGAGAAACATACTCTACTCAGTACCTGGGCAGAGGTTCAGGTTGTTTGCACCCGAATAGAACGCCCGGTCATTATCGCTGCATCTGGACCGGAAGTTGTGCCAAATGCAGCTATAATGACCGGCCGTTCTATTCGGGCAAAGACAGTGGCCACATTCTTCCTCCTTTTTTTCGGCAAAACGGACAAGAGGGGTGTTATAACCTCTTTGGTCTACCGATGAGGATTCGAAATCATGCCACAGGGCAGTCTTACAATTGCACATTCTTCCTTCGGGACATCCGTTAAAATTGGAACGATACAGAGAAGGGTAAATTAGCAAATGGCCCCTGCGCAAGGATGACACGCAAAAATCAAGAAATGGTCCAAATTAAAAAAATAATAATAAAAATAAATAAATAAATAAATAAATAAATAAAAAATTGCAATTCTTCCCTTTCCTGTGTATTATCATGAACTTGTTACCCTAAAAAAAAACAAAAAAAAGAACTGGTTACCCTTTGCATTGCACAGTCATACCTCATTCACCCCCCACCCCCCCCCTTTCAAAGACATAACTGGTTAACCATAGGGGCCCATTTTTCCAGTCAAAGTTGAAAAGCCGCAGACCTCTTTCACAGGCAAGCTAGAGCAATCAATGAATTCAATCCCACCGGCGGGCCATCGTCAATTTTCAATCCCCATTAGCTAAGGGTTCAGTCTAGATAAGAGCTGGGATGGTTGGATTTGGCCGGCGGCGTATTATCTTGTTTACTTACCCACTCTCTAGACTCGATTATATCTGGAGAGAGAAAGAAGAAAGTCTCTGAGGATCCCAAACAGCTCGGCAGTCGCTGGCTAGGGCGAGCGGCCGTACTTTTTTGTGGTTTCCTGCTGATCGAACATTGCTTATACAATTTTCACTGGTTCGGAGCAAGCACTTAAAAACCAAGTACAAATAAGCGTGTAGTTGTTCCAGCAAACGGCAACGTTTTTCTTTACAGAGCACTCTCTAAGGTGGTCGGAAACAACCCATAATACCAAGAGCTAATCCAAAATCACCTACTCGATTCACAAGCATTGCTTTAATAGCTGCTTTATTTGCTTGAAGTCACAGGCGCACCCATTCAACAGACGGCACTGGTTAACCACAGACACAAACTCTGGTTAAAGGACCAGTACACACGAGCCTGGAGGACTCGCACTGCGCGCCAGACTTTGCCGATCCCCCAGCTGCACACTTCTCTTCTATTTTGCCTGGTGCCACCCAAGCCCTCCATTGTGGTACGGCAGCCCCGAGCCTCCAATTTTTTTGGAATATGGGCCATGAAAATTTTATTTGAAGTTGGCTTGGGGGATGGGGGGGGGTCTACTGCCGGTTTGACCCTCTGACAAAGTTGAGAAGCCAAAGACCCCATCGACAAAGATAGCTGGTTAACCAACCTCGTCCACAAATATCATTGGTTAATAAAATGACCCCTTTCACAAGCATAGCTATCTGGCCACACAAACCCCATCCACGAAAATATTTGGTTAACCAAAGGCCCAGTCCGCAAACACAACTTGTTAACCACAACTGGATAACCAGCGGTACCAGCAGGAACTAGCAGGGCGCAAAAACATGCATACCATACCATTGCGGCTAGAATATGATTTTTCCCATCCAGAACGTGTTTTTCTTTCAATGTTACCTTTCTCCCCCCCCCACCCCAACACACATGCAGAGCTGGTAGGCCAACCCATCCCGCTGCTGGCGCAGTTCCCAGCACAACTTCAGGATTGCATCAGGGACGGTGGTGAGTGGTTTAAGCACTGAGCCCTACCACAGATTGACTTACCATGAGGGCACAGGTGCGCAGCCCGTAGTTCGTTTGTTTATGTGGTTCGGGAAGGGTAAGGTATTGATTATGCTGTATGTATGTTTTGTCATGTTCGCTATACACAACTCGAAGAGTGTGTGTGTGTGGGGTGCCGGTTGGTGCTTTATTCACGATGTTCATGGGACGCTGGACCTAGTTTCCAGCAGGTGGCGCTCCCCATCAATAGACAAGGGAATGCATATGTGTGTATGTGAGTGTGTGTATGTGTGTGTGTGT